CAACTCAAGGAGGGGGTACGCGCAGGTCTAAATTTAAGAGCACAAAAGGTAAAGAAACCCATTTCTTTTGACGTGTTTAGTTTTCTGTTCCCTTAGTTTTTGTTTTTTTCTCTTACGTACTAAATAATAACGCATTGGATGCAAACCACCTAACCTATTCTAGTTTAATTAACCAACTCCTCCTTTCTAGAAACTCCAACATAACCAAAAGGGATGCATGCTTATCAAAAAGATATCTTTCATTACATCGCAAAGATTAATTTAAGCCATTTCGTTTGTTTTTTTTTTTTTTTTTACAAATTCATCTACATCCATTTTTACTTATCAATATATATGATGTTAGAAGAATAAAAAAAATTCACATTGACAATGTTAAAAGAGTCTCTTTTAGCCTATTTCGTCTTGTTCGGTTAGCAGTTTAGGAGGCTCGAGCCTTATTAAGCGCAGTTACGATAAGTGGCCTATGGGCGTGGGAACATGGACATAGACCTGACAATTTCTTATACGACATGTTAACACGACATGTAAATGACACAAAAATAATGGGTTTCGGGTCAACACGATAACTAATTGGGTCGTTATCGGGTTACACGATAAGGACCCGTTATTAACTGGTCCTTAACAGGTTTACACAAGAGTGATGTAAGATCCCACATCGCTCAGGGGAGTGATCCTTATATGTATATTCTCATCTCTACCTAGCACGAGGCCTTTTGGGAGCTCACTGGCTTCAAGTTCCATGGAAACTCCTAAGTTAAGCGAGTGGCACACGAGAGCACTCTCATGATGGGTGACCCACTGGGAAGTTCCCAGGCCCCCTCCACCACCATAGCACGATAGGTGGCCTATGGGCATGGGAACATGGTCGTGGCCCAAAGCGGACAATATCGTGCTATGGTGGTGGAGCAGGCCCGGGATGTGGTGGAACCCGGGCTGGGATGTGACAGTGACATACGGGTAACCCATTTCGACATGTTAAGAAAAAAGTTATTTTGATGATTTATTAGCAACCCCACTTAATGTTGAATAAACCCCACAATTTAAATGATTTATATATCTAATATGTAATGACAATTTCGACCTTATAAGATTTAAAAATAAATAAAATTCTAAATGCACCCCAAATCATTTTTTATATGCATATCCCAAATTTTTCTTTTTGTTTTTTTTTTTTAATAAGATTTCAACTGTCAAAATCACTCTTAACATCCATTGCAGAACACATCCACTCATTCCCTAGGGCGGGCATGTTGGGATGCCATTAACTTACAGAATGCTAGTGGCAGAACACATCCACTTATTCTTCAGAGCCATTGTTGATCTTTACATGCGCTTTCAATTACCATTATTTTTGTGGCAACAATTTAATTCTCACCAATCAGAAATTTACTCAAGATTAAGCTCAACTTTCTCCACTAGCAAACTTTGACAAATTTTGAAAAGAAAAAGAGCAAAGTTTGACTACCATGTGTCTACATGTCAGAACAGTTGTGTCTCGTGGTTCAGACAGGCAAATTATGTGTGTCACCTTCAACTAAATTACTAATGCCATATATCTCCTGTAGTTCATACTTCATCCCATTCACCCAAAGAATCTACTTGACAACCCTAAGCCTAACTTGGAATTCACCTTTCTCTATCTAAAACAATTTTAGTTATCTAGGAGTTTGTTGTTATAGACACAGGGCTTCCCTCTGATCTATCATAGGCAAAAGGGCACATCTATAGGATATATATCCAAGTCAGCTACTTTAAGTAACATTGTATCCTCAAACATTGAGAAGTTAATTCTAGTTCTGTGGGGCTGCCTGAACTTGTGGCCTAAACCTTGTTCAAAATGTACCATCACAAGTGGATGAAAGTTAAAATGTATTGTCATTTTTAGGATACACCTCCTCGCTGATAAATGTTCCTTAGTTAGAAAAACGTTGAGCAAATCCTTGTTACTAAACAATAATGTAAGGGAAAATGTTGAGCAAATCGATCCTTGTATGACGTGAATGATTTTCTATCAAATGGTACATAGCACAGACAAAAAACGAAGAAAGAAACTATTGTGAAGAGTACTGAGATGTATGTAGAAAATGCGAGGTGTATGTAGAAAATTTAAGATGTATGTTGATAGTGCGAGGTGTGAGGGTATTATGGGAATACACGTGGGGTGTATTAAGATAAATTTAATTGAAAAAGCAAATGTGGGGTGTATTAATTTTGTGGGGTGCTAATATAATAAGCCTTTTTTTAACTATTGAAAACACTTACTATAAAATACAATAGCCATAGAGTATATGTATATATGTATATATGTATATTAATATGTATTAGTGTATTGTTATTCTATATAAATTTAAAATTTTAATTTTAATTTATTTATTTTATAGTATACTATAGGCAAATAGTGAGATTAAAAAATTATAAAACACATTAAACATAAAAATATCAAGTTATTTAAAAATACCAAAGACATTAAAATTAAAAATATCAAGTAATTTAAAATACCTAACACATTTTAATGGTTTATGATGTTTGGTTTTTTATGCTTGGTTTATGTGGAAGAGTGTTAATGTGGAAAGCATTAATGAAAACATTGTCAATATAACTCTTGAAAACAATATCTCAAGCCAAAGTTCCAATACCATATCCTTGATGATTGATGAAAATTGAAGGGTTTTATTGTTAAAAACGTGCAAGGCTTCTCAACCTTGAAATGCAACTCCCTTCATTTAGCATATCTTTAAACATTTGGTATTTTGTAGTAATGTACTAATGTTTTTTCATTAAGCTCTTATTTTGGGGGTATGTAATACTTGAAAGTCAAATGCTTTGTTTTTTTTTTTTTTTTAATTTTTGAAGTAATATTTATGTGACAACGTGGTATGCATATACTAATTTAGTATTATGTTTTTCATTTTTTGGGATCAAATTAGGTTTTTCGTAAAATAGATTTTCTTTAACGGGTAGCGGGTCGAATCATTTGAGTCATATTACCCGTTTACTTTAACGGATCTTACACGACACAACCTGTTAAGATATCGGGTATGTCACGAAAACGACACGAATGCCAGGTCTAAACAATTCACATATAGGTAGCAGTTCGTAAGCAATTTACGTAGACATATATAATTAAACAGATTAAATAAAATAAAAATGAAATACTCATCTGTTTGGGACGAATAATTTTATCTTCATGGCACTTGATTTTTATAAGATTTCAGATTATAAACGTATGAATTCACTGTTCTTAAGATTATATTTTGTCGGAGCTTGGTGTAGCAGGTTACGGTGCCCTACCCTCCAAGGTAAAAAAACATGATATCCTCATAAGCACACATTCGCAATACTCATGTCAAATGAAGAACTCAATTCTTTCCTTTGACATTGGCAACTATATGTTCAATGACACAATAAATAGATCTATTTATAGAGAACAATGTTGGAAAACGCAAGTTCGACAACGTCACAATAGATGGCTAGAGCATTTAACAATTTGTTACAATAGAATTTATAACAAGGATTATTAATAGGAAGGAATGACGTTTCACAAAGTATAACTCCCACACTTGACTTCAATTATAAAATAAATGGAATGAATTAGCTAGCAACATATTTGGGTGTAAATGAAAATTTTCTGCAGGTACACCATCTTCTATTGATATAAATGGAAATACAAGGTAAGGCAATGATGACGAAAAGAAACGTGTGAAAAGAAAGAAACAATAATCATAAAAGGAGGGATTGCAATGCAGGAACCATTCGATTTTAATTAGTCTGACCTTATAGCGTTTCATTCATTAGTATTTACTATCACTTTGAATCTCATGTTTTTTGGGTTACAAGACGAGGGCATGTATCTAAAGTGAGAATACTTCACAATTATGCAGCCTTATGTTCCACACTCATTCACAACCTCCTCATTTTGCTGCTTCTATATCACAACCCCAAGCACAACGTACTCAAGTTGCTGCTTCTTCATCACAGGCTCAGCCTCACTCAGTCACTACAAATGACAATAGGCGTAGGTAAAAGGCTCCAGTCAAACGAGGAAGGCCATGGAAAGTGTAGTTGATCAGAGAGTGTGATCTGAGTTTTGAACAGAACATTGATGATCTTGTTTTGTTAACTAAAACCTTATTTTGCTTGCTTTTGGTTGAGTGGAATTGCTCTTGTTCATTATTTGTCAAAGAGAAAAAAAAAAAAAAAAACGGTAATACCTGCTCCAAGAAAAAGAGTAATTTCGCTGTTCGGGAAGGCAATCACGCCATATGCTAATTCTCATACCAGGGCATGTGATGTGTGGATTGAAAAGAAGGGAAAAATAAAATGAAAGATAGGAGTTGGTGGGTAGAAAGACGGGGGAAGTTTTGTTTTTATTTTATTTTTCAGTTTTTCAATTACTTTTAAGAGTGAAACGACTTATCTACCCTTATATACTGTGCTTCTTCCATTTACTCAATTGGGATGGAATATATGAAAAACTGAAATTGGCTAAAAGAATTAGTTTGAATTCTTAGTTTTCCAATAGAAAAGTTTAGGGGAAAAATTAAAAGCCAAGTGAAAGTTCAAAAATGGACAATTTACTCAATTAAATAAACCAAAAGAACAAGAGCCAGGGGCATCAATGACAGTGTTCCCAAAGAAGATGATTGAACCATTAAGCCACATGACCGATTGGTCTAGATCACAAAGCCGCCAGTTACTTGGAGGAGGTTTTATGCTGGACTCACGCAAATGATGTTTATCAAAATTAAAATATTCATTAAGCAATTATAAAAATAGGGGCTAACGACCATCACGTAAACAAATATTATGTTTATATGACTCCAGCAAATGTTACCAAAAACTGGTTCTGCAAAAACTGCAGTGCAGCTCACGTTGCGCTATCTCTGAATTAAATATATCAAATTTAATATAAACAACTAGGAATAAACAAAGTTGATGCCTGCATCTTAACAAACTGAGAGGGAAAAAATATTGCTAAGTCTTTGGATAATAATTTCTTGTTTTTTTTTGATACATGACTTGAAAATTTTGAGGAGTTTTGGATCATAGATCGATGATGGCGAAGGACTCAAAAACTGGGGTGGTTGGTTCAACAATTTCAATGATTTTCTTGCTTACAATTGGTTTGCTTTATGCTGCATTCACCCCCAATATTAATCCCTTTGAAACATGTAAGTTTTCTTAATTTTCGATTTAGTTTAGTCACATTTCGTTAATTAAGCGAAGGTAATGGTTGTGATTAAGATTATCCTTGTTTCACTGTAGCCATGATTTCACTAATTTTTGAGTTTTGAAATTGAAGGGATGCACACCAGAAAAGATGATAAAGTCATTGGAGTGGAAGAGCCTCTCAATTCTCTCTTCATAAGACTAGTTAGAGGTTTCTTTTTCGTTCATTACCATTTTGATTATGTACTTATTTTTTCATGAATCGGACGCAAAACATGGGGTGCTGAATTAAAATGTTTTTAACCACTTGAGCTACCATTATGGCTGACCCAATTCAAGATTTCTTGTTTTGATTGCGTAAGTAATGTGAAATTATGAACTGCAGGGGTAGATCGAATTCAACTCGAAACCACCGGGTTTTCTTGCCACTCCGACGTTCACTCGGAAGTGTGCGTGGCTAATAGACCAGTTATAGTTGACAAGAATGCTTTAACAGTTTATGTACCTTCAAATGAAGCCCAAGTTGAATACAAGGTTCAGCCATATGCAAGGAAAGAGGATGGGACTGCAATGAAGGCTGTCACACCAGTGCAAATACTACATGGAAACATTAGTACTCCTCCGGCTTGCAATTTTTCTTACAACATCCCAGCTATGATATTCTCTTCTGGTGGCTTCACCGGAAATCTATTTCACGAATTCAATGAGATCATCATCCCCTTGTTCATCATGTCACGCCGCTTTCGATCCCAGCTTCAGTTTGTCATAACTGATTTTAAGCCATGGTGGGTTAGCAAGTACGAACGAATTCTATCATCGTTGTCCAGTTATGATGTGATAAATTCAGTTCAGAATGGAAGTGTTCACTGCTATCCTGGAGCTGTCATAGGCCTTAAGTTTCATGACAACTTAGCGCTAAATTCTTCCGACATTCCAGGAGGGTACTCCATGTTTGACTTCAAGCAATTCCTAAGAGAATCATACATGCTGAAAATGCAGGATGTCTCAAATCAGATGGGGGAAAAACCTGTGCTAGTTCTTATATCTCGTCGCAAAACAAGGAAGTTTTTGAATGAAGATAAGATGGTGGAAATGATGGAAGAATTAGGCTTTCAGGTTATCGCTGCAACGCCTAACCAGACATCTAATTTGGACACATTTTCAGGCTTAGTGAACTCTTGTAGCGTCATGGTTGGGGCTCACGGTGCTGGCCTTACAAATGCACTGTTCTTGCCAGCTGGGGCAGTGTTAGTGCAAGTGGTACCGCTGGGCCTAGATTGGCCGTCAGCTAACTATTATGGTGGACCGGCGAGTGAAATGGGGCTAAATTACTTGGAATACAAGATTAAACCAGAGGAGAGTTCACTGATTGATGACTATGGTCCAGATCACCCAGTCATCACGGATCCCATGTCTATTTCCTTGAAGGGCTATCGGGCTTTTAGGGCTGTGTACGTTGATGGACAGAATCTGAAGGTTAACATGGTGAGGTTCCGAGAAACCCTCGCTGAAGCTCTAAAACTTGTTGGAGGCTCCACTCCTTCAAATTAAAGAACCAAACATTGTAGTACTTAGTAGAATTCAACTGTTTGCAAATATGTATCAAATGTTGATAGCCATTTATTGTAAGTAGCTTCCTGTCAGGCTCAAGTTCTAAGCAATCATAATTGGGCATGAAAACACAATAATTTCCTACAATTGATTGAAGGAGCCTCCAGCATTCTCTGATTTCATTCCCATGAAATAAATAAATGCCTATCATCTAAAAACAAAAATTGCATATCAAAATGCTAAGTTGATAAAAAATTTGCACTAATAATATTTGTAGGTCGAAGTTCACATAGGCAAAAAATTACTCCTCAAGAAATAAATCCACTAGCACCTTAAATTTGGAAGTGGTGCTACAATCAAGCAACATGTTTTTACATTTTCAATCATGTTCATGCATGAATTTTCCATCTCATCTCATAACTTCATTCATGATCACACACAAATGAAATCATGTGGTTAGCGCAACTTGATGCCCTAATCACCCACTATCATGTGTTCATGACATAAGACATGAAGCGCAAGAAGGACCAATTAACAACACAAGAAAAGAGAGTGATAAATTCATCACCATCATTTCTCCTTCTCAACCTATCCTGCCACCCTTATCTTAAAACTCCAGTACTATGCCATCACCATCACCCTTGGAATGCCTGCCTCCATAGTAAGTGATAGAGATCCTGTATTTCTGAGTGCATTTTGGAAGGAGTTCTTCAAACTCCAAGGTTCTAAACTTTGTTTAAGCTTTGGTTATCACCCCCAAACTGATGGGCAGACTGAGGTGCTCCATAGGTGCTTAGAAACCTATTTGAGGTGTTTTACCAATGCTCACCCTAGGAAGTGGTTGCATTGGCTTACATGGGCTGAGTGGAGTTACAATCGAGCAACATGTTTTTACATTTTCAATCATGTTCCTGCATGATTTTTCTACCTCGTCTCATAACTTCATTCATGATCACACACGAATGAAATCATGTGATTAGCGCGACTTGATGCCCTAATCACCCACCATCATGTGCTCATGACATAGGATCTGAAGCGCAAGAAAGACCAATTAACAACACAAGAAAAGAGAAGGATAAATTCATCACCATCATTTCTCCTTCTTCTCAACCTATCCTGCCACCCTCATCTTCAAACACCAGTACTATACCATCACCATCACCCTCCCCACCATCAACACAACCACCCCCACCCCCTCCTTCTCTTCCCCCAACTTCTATTCATCTTGTGCAGACTAGATCCAAATCTGGGATCTTTAAACCCAAAGTTTTCTCAGCCACTAAACATCCTTACCGTCTCATCTTTCTCTCGATTATATACCTTCTACCTATATTCAAGCCTCTCGATTATATACCTTCTACCTATATCTAGTTTTTTCTTAATTCTATGCTACCCATAAAAATATCTCCTTATCATGGGTTGCGAAATCTGGTACTGCACATGAACATATAACATGATTAACATTCAATCCATGACCAACAATCTTATTCAGTAATGAACATCAAACAAGGCCATACAAACAAGCTCTTCAAATTCCAAGAGGAATCAAAAGTGGCCTGCAAACGTGGAAATCAATGGAAATCAAGCGAAAGGCTACCCGATAACTAATTGAGAGCCCCTATTATACTCTATAAGGCTATTCTTTGTTATATGAAAGTATTCCAGACAAGTTTCAACCAAAAAAAAAGTATTCCAGACAAGAACCGACCACAGCAAAGAAAATAACCAACAGAATTATTCCTGTGAAACAAAAAACAAGCAGCCTTATCACCCAACGAATCATTACCCAAAGTTTGTAGAGTACCGAGGGAAAATAGCCACCCTTAATTTTAGCTGCTTCTGGAAAATCAGGCCCTCTAAGGAAGGGATTCCTATTTTTCAAAAAAAATAAGAACATCGTCTTGACCATTATATTTGACTTTAATGAAATTTTATAACTGCGATTAAATCATAGACCACAGAATTTCAACCACAGGATTTCATTAAAGCCAAATATAATGGTTAAGAGGATGTCCCTCTTTTTTTCGAAAAATAGGGATCCCTTCCCTTAAAAGGCTTCCTCTGGAAAATAGCCACCCTTAATTTTAGTTGCTTCTTTAGTGTTCATCATAATGATCATCAAGGAAGCCGCAGAATTCTCCGCATCTCGTTTTCTTGGCTTTTCATCTCCTGTCTTATATAGCACACCATCTAAAGTTTCAATTTCAACTGATGATACAAATCTCTTCTCATGCTCAGGACCAAATTCTTTCTCAATTCTACAGTAGAAAAGGTAAATATATGCGTGGATTATTTATAAATATTATTTACAACATAATTCTAAAGGTAAATTACATATTACACCCTTAAGTTTAGATGCAATTACAACTTCTTACAACATCTTTAAAACATTTCAATTTCATATCTTTGCTATTATTTCATTTCAATTCCGTACAACTGTCTCAATTTCTGTTAATTTTTCTATTATCTGCTTACGTGATTTCACAGGCCCATTATACTTGTGCCTGTGGATTAAAAATTAATAAAATAACTTTTACTTAAAGAAAGTGCCCACTCTCTCCTTCTCCACCCCACCCTTTCCTTTCTGTCTCTTCTTCTCTTGGCCTCCGCCCACCCCTCACTATTCTCTGTCTTCTTCTCTAGGAGCCACTCGACTCCCTCGCTTCCCTTGACCAACTCTGCCTCTTACGATATGCACCGGCATGGTGGTGCTTTGTCTTTCTTCTTCCTCCCTTTCTATTTGCGCTGCTCCCATCTCAGAGTCTCCACCTTGCTAGCACTAAGCACTAAAATAGAAACGCCATTGCAACCCACCCATTTGCAAACCCAAAACAACCAAAAATGCTAGAAAATCTATGAATTTCAAAGCATTGAAGCAAAGATTGAAAAGTGGCTCAAATCACAAAAATCCATCACGACCCACCAAACTATAAAAACCCAGATCCACACCAACCAAGGAAAACAGGTTATGCAAGACCCAGAAAACGGGACAAACTCGACTACGTTCGACCACTACGTGACAGAAGCCGGAGGCAGAGAAGGAGGCTTCAACAAGGGATCTGATTGAGATTTGTTATTTCTCTTTATGGCGGCTCCGAATTTCCTACGGATCCGCTTCGATTTACCGTACAAGCCAACGAAATCGACGAGGAAGAGTCCACTGCGAAGAGGCTGGATGGCAGGGGAGCGACCATTACTGGAGTATTGAACGAGCTTCGAAATCGGCGTCACTGACCGTAACGCCATTGTTGGAAGTCATAGAAAGCACAGAAAGAGAAAGAGTGGGGTGGGGGTTGAGTTAGAGAGAGAAGGAGAAGTGTGTGGCAGCGGAAAAGGAGATAGAGGTGTGGCTGGATGAAGATTACGGCTAGGGTTGAAGGGGAAGGAGCTGACGGAGAGGTTGAAGAGAAGTGTAGAAGAAAGGGTGGACCCACTATTATTTGAAATCAAATTATACTTTAATTTATTTTCCTTTTTATATTAACATTTCTAAGTAAAATTATTTTTTTATTAATTTTTAATCCACATGGCACAAGTATAATGGGCCCGTGAGATCCACCGAAGCAGATAATGGAAAAATTAACAGAAATTGAGATAGTTATACGAAATTGAAATGAAATAATAACAAATGTATGAAATTGAAATGTTTTAAAGATGTTGTAAAAGTTGTAATTACATCCAAACTTGAGGGTGCAAAATGTAATTTACACTAATTCTAAAAGGGAAGTGTTATTTACATTCCAAAAATCACTCATCACAAGTGTATTTTTCTTTTCTAATATAAAAAGTTTGAAGTGTAGAATGAGATTTTTGAAGTGCTAATAACAATTCCCTTCTAAAAACACAATTTTTTTTTGTTTTTGAATATGTTCATACCTGTAAGTTGGTTTACGGATCCTCTTCTTCTCACAAAGCTCCTTCAAAATCTTTTTAGCTTCATTTTCAGCAACAACTTCAAACGACCCATAGCTTATGCCGAATTTGGACAACTTAGATAGGGCTTCTCTTGCAGCATGACGCTTGGCAATTGAAATATTTTTTCCATAAGCCGAGGCAATGCGGTTTCCATCAACATACACATCACAAATACTTATATTTTTATCATAATTTCTCGCCTTCTCGATCTCAAAGCGCTTTCCATGCTTTTGGCAAAACTTAAACAAATTTGACACAGGGTGATCCAGCAAGTCTTCGAGAGTAACCATAGGCTCCAAAATATGCTTAAATGTCTACAAATGTACCACAGCAGATAACACATAAACCACTAGTTAAAGTTCAAACCAACTTACAACCCTAATTACAAACTCAATAAGAGGTTTCCATAATTGTCATATAAAATGAAACAAGCTATAATGAAATACGCACCTTCCATAGTTTGTGCAGATCATAGTTCAAGTCAATGTATATGGCAGCTGCCACTGCTTCCACAATATCTGCAAGAGGATGATTGGGTTGCATAGTCCCACCATATAAAAGATCCGTCTCATCTTCTTCATTCGAAACCGCTTTGGCGAACTCCCCAACCTAAAACTTAAATCAAAATATTGCTCATAAAACTAAGAGTAAAAGTACCATTACACAAATGATTTATACAAATTTCAAAAAGGAAAACTTACATCAAAAGAGGTAAATATATACAAGGCTAGAGACACCAGCTTTTAAAATACTAACTATTGTGACAGCGTTTAGAAATAAGAAAGAAAGTTTCACACTAGTTAATTAATTGGTAAACAAAAGTGCATGTAATATGCTAATGTCTCTAGCTAATTATATATGAGTATACCCTTTGGAATTCAATTTTTCTTTTCAACTAAAACCGACCATGATAAATTTTTCTAATAATAACTAAATGATTAGGCTCTAACTAAGCAATAACCAAACTTAATTACACCTAATATGATTGACTTTGTGTCTATTATAGGAATGTCAACGATTCGGTTTGAGGATAGAAATGCTATATCCATCTCCATAACCACGAAAATTAACCATATCCATAACCGCCAATTAACCATCGGGTATTATCCATAGCCATACCCACCGAGTAACGGATTCCTTATCAGTTAACTGTTATACCCATCTTTGCCAATACAAAAAATATATTCGTTCAATTGACTCATAATAATTTAGTAAATATTAATTTCGTCATTAAATATTTGATATATAAAATGATTTAATGAATGGATCTTGTAGAGCATAAAAATTAAAGCCAAACATTGATAAAGTTGGCTGATTTTTTATATCTCTCATAAGTTCTATTGGTCTGGATTCTAATAGATTTTGATTCATATCAAAACTTTTTAACTTACCCACAAAATGTAACTCACACAGTGCAACTTTTGTATTCTCAATGTAATGGATTCGGTGAATAAAAAAAAGAAAAAAAATATATATATATATATTATATAATTATATATTTACTATTATATTATATATAATTCGGTTCGGATTTGAGAACGGATACGGATTGAGAACCCCTATAACCATATCCAAAACCATAACCGAATATTTTCACGGTTTTTCCCCATATCCAAATTATATCCGAATTTTCATACTCAAATCCAATCAATTCGGACGGTTATTCACGGTTATTGAATTTAACGGTTAAAATTGTCATCCCTAATCAATTACTTGTTATCTACGTTTATTTTGCATTATTTCATTCAATTAAACCTTCTCAAATGCACATTCTCAAATGCTTATGCGGACTTCTAGTTTTATTCAAACTTATATGGAGTTGATGTAACTTTGTTTTGAGGATAGCTAACTTTCAAAGTTGTTTGTGCGGGACACTGTTTTTCTTTTCGAGCGGATTGAAATTCCTGATAAGGTTTTTTTCGAGACCCATTTATGCACCTTATCCTCATTTTGTACGAATTTCCCTCACTTCAATAAATATTGTACTTGTTCTAAAAAATAAAAAATTGCTTATGTGAACTTGGAAAAGAAAATTTTAAATGTCATAATTAACCATGTCGACATGCATTGGCTCAACTCCTTTACACTAATGTGGTAAAAGACCATTTGCATAAACATGCTATTTTATTCAAACTTACAACTATTTTACATATAAATATAAATATTTTACATTTTTTTTTTCTTTCTTCAGGTTATATATATATTAGGATATATCAGTAATTAGAAGGAACCAAAAAAAAAAAAAAAAAAAAACTCATTCTGCACGATTCCATTTCCTTATATTTGGTGTACTTTTTTAGTGTGTCAACAAAAGCTTAAGCTCCTGTGGAAATTAAAAATTAAAAAAAAACCTCCACAAATTGCAAAATGCAAATTCAACTTGCAAAGTACTAAAATAATAATGTATGAAATAATTAAAAGAAACCAGAGAGCACAAACAATGACCTGAATTTCGAGAGCAGGAGAATTGTGATGAAGGCAGTGATCAAACCCATGTTTTACAGCAGCGCGTGCGAACTTCATCGTACTAACATTGGTGGAGCGGAGCTTAGAGAAGTCACCTTGATTCATGTCGGGGTAAACAAGAAAGAGGTGCTCACTCATAGCCATGCCAAGGGCAGCGTCACCGAGCACAGCTAAACGCTCGTACGATGGGAAGTTTGTGACGGAGGGGTGTGTGAGAGCTTCCTCTAGAAGCCTCTTGTTCTTGAAGTTGTGGCCTACGATTTTCTCCATGGCCGTCACTTTATCTTTCATTTCAGGCGATGGCGGGAGCTCGCGATCGAGGGATGCTGAGGTAGTGCTGAAGATTGTCATGTTGCTGAATTGGAAGATCGTCGTTGATGTATGTTGAAGCAAAACTAGCTAGTTGGATTTGGAATTGGAAATACCAGAAAATAACTCTTTAGTTGTGATGGAAAGCAATTAGGTTAAGCAACCTTAATAGTAAAAGTAAAGTAAGGAATAAGAATGTTAAAGGAAAAGAGAAAGAGAAAGGGTAAAACAGTTCAACCGATGTTGTCGTCTGGGGATTGGTTGATGAATCATCGGATTCTATTCCCCGTTTGCGTCCAGAACCAATGGTCTGGCAGCCAGCTGGCATGATAATATTTTTATTTAAAATCAAACACAAACATTAATTAATAAAAACTGACTGCACGATGAATTAACACGATTCACAGATCTATATAATTCTCACCAAAATGATCCAGAGAGGATCCTGTTGGAGATATTACAGCCTCAAATATAATTCCTAACCTAACCTTAAAGAGATGAAATGCAACAATTTCTTAGTAGGGTGATGCTATCCTCACATTCTCATACGCTTTCTGGTAAATTTTCAAATTTAACATGTGAACAACATAAATGGGATGACGTAGAACTCGTGTGACCATTGGTGGATCAACCTGCTCTAACACTATGACAGCATAAAGAAATCTTAGAGAGAGATAGATAGAGAACTTTAGGGTGAGAAAGTGAGAGAATGAATTCTTTTCTTTCTATTTACAGAATGTGATTAATACAACGATAATAAGAGTATTTATACTATTTGCACTCATTCTAGCTGACTCTAGCATGACTAACATAAACCATTGGATCAATGACATCTGTCACAATCCTATACAAACTAACATAACAGTTTTTATACACTTATCACACACGTTTCTTAATTTTCAATCATCCGATTGAATTAATTGAAGAATATTAAAAGATAAAAATTAACAAAGGGTGTGAGAGAGGTAAAAATAAGTGTGAATGGTAGCCTTTCCAGTGATCCATGGCTGTCTTTGCAGGAGCTACATCTTCATCCTAAATGTTTGATTCTTAGTTTTCGTTTGTGGTCTCTTCTCTCATCATGTAAACCAAAACAATCACATATTCAGAAGAGAAACAGCCACATTTCTTTATGACGAGAGCCATCACTAGCGTTATGTTTTACTTTTGTTGATATTTTTTTTATTTGTAATTGAGAGGTATAAGCTTCGACTCATATATGAATGTCGAGTTCGATATCTAATCATTACGATTTACCAATTGTATGGCTTAATCTAGTTCTTCCCATAATATTACACCTGTTACATTTTTAAAACCACATAGGTTCTTTACTCACGAGAGCCGTCACTAGCACTATACTCAATTAACATCTAATCAGATAAACTCAAATCTTCATGAGATAAATATCCACATTAAATGAGTTAAAATCTGAGGGGTAGATTTATTTATCACATCATGTAGTATAAACATATGGTATGAATGGCATTAATCTGCACATATTTCACTATCAAATTTGTTACTTAACATTGGGGAGCCAAATTATATTATCAAATTTTATTTACCAGAAAACAAAACAATACTAATTTATCAATGTTGAGAGTATAGCATTGTGCAGCACTGTGGGTTTGGGTCAATATGGGAGTCTTCGTTGAGTGGAAATCAGATTGTGCTGGTTCCAAGTGCTGGTTAAAGAGCTCAAGGTTGCTATGGAGGTAGAGAGAGAAGAAGATGGACCACCAGTAAACTCCATCCAATCAAACAATCCAATCAAACAATCACTTGAAACAGGGGATAAACAGTCTGAAAACTACGACGACCACAAACAAATGTTACAGGTTCAAATCCTAACCGAAATCTATTGGGCATGAAAGCAACATTTTCCTATAATCCATCGTTGTTATTGCATAACTGCAAGCTCTTATGTTGCATACAGAGTTTTCCTCTAAACTATGCATTCAAATTTCAAATGCAGCAGGAGGTACAAGAAAAGAAAAAGAATTAGAGTTGCATCATATAAAACCAGATTCTTGCAAAGCACAGATCATTGACGAAGCTGCAGAGTTGTCCGCATCTTTTATTCTCGGCCTTTCATCTCCTGTTATGTATAGTACACCATCCGCAGTTGCAATTTTGACTGAGGATACAAATCTCTTCTCATGTGAAGGACCTTCATCTTTCTCAATGCTGCAATAGAAAAACAGAAAAATCTACATAACTACAGAATAGACAACATTAATTCCAACAATAGAGTGTTTTTCTTCAAATATGTTCAGAGGTCATGATCAGGGCAAAGAGATTCATACGTGTAAATTGGTTTAGGCCACTTCTTCTTGTCACAAAGCTCATGCAACTTCTGTTTTGCTTCTTCAATTTGAAACTTTCCATCAATTCCCGCAATAAATCTCGTCGACCTGCCACTTACCCCCAACGATTTTGACAACTTTAAAAGAGCTATCTTAGCAGCATCAAGCTTGGCAATCTCCTTCTGCTCAGAAGAACCCGAGGCAACAAACACGCCATCAACATAGACACTAGCAATACTTTTGGTCTCATCTCTCCAATGTTTGATATCAACATGTTTCCCGTGCTTCTGGCAAAGCTCAAACAACACTGTAACAGGTTGAGGTTGACCTTGCACTTCTTCAAGAGTAACTATAGGCTCCAAAAGGCACCTAAATTTCTACAAATGTATGTCAACAACAACAACAAAAACTAACAGGTTATATCCAACTTTTAAACGATTGGAAACTTAACAGAAGGTAATCAAATACACACCATCCATAATTGTTCCAGATCAAAATTCAAGTCAACATACATTGCTGCTGCCACAGACTCCACCATATCTGCAAGAACCTTAGGAGCTCTCACAGAACCACGATATACAAGCGGCGTCTCGTCTTCTCCGGTGACAGCTTCAGTAAACTCCCTAACCTAAAATTTAGAACAAATTGCAGACAAATCCTAAAATTACACCATTGATTGACAACAACAATCCTTTTAAGAAAATTAACCAGGAAAAAAAAATGGGAAAAATATTAACAGATAACAAAATTAATACCTATGAAACAATTAAACTTTTCCGACACAAATCCAGACAACAAGAAAATATAAACAAAAACAAAAACCCAGGTAAAATGTTCCTCCTTTTGTTCTTTCTTTCCACACATAAAACAGAGAATCAGAAAAAATGAAATTGATTGAGAACAAAGAGAATAATTAATTAATTAATTAATAGTAACGAACCTTATCCCGGAGAGCAGGTGCATTGTGGCGGAGGTGGCAGTAAAGGCCGTGCCGGACAGCCACACGTGCGAGCTTCTCGGTGCTGACGTTGGCGGAGCGCAGCAGAGAGAGAGTGCCGGGTTCGACCCCAGGATAAGCAAGGAAGAAGTGGTTGCTGAGGGCGAGGCTGAGAACGGCGTCGCCGACGAATTCGAGGCGCTGGTACGACGGCGATTCGGAGTAAGAGGAGTGGGTCAGAGCTTCTTCTAGAAGCCTCTTGTTCCTAAAATCGTAGCCCACGATTTGCTCCACGGCTGCCACGGATTGCTGCATTTCCAGCGATGGCTGGACCGTACGATCCATGATTGAAATCATGATTTGCGGAGTTTTTTATTTATTTTATTTTATAGGTTTTTGATGGGTTTGATGCAGGTTGGAAGTTGGAGTTTACTCTGAAGTCGTCGTTCTGAGTTTGAAGCACCTGGTCCGTGATGGGTTCGAATGCAAGTACATCTTTATTTAAAGTGACCAGCTTTAAACGACACACAAAAAAAAAAAAAAAAAAAAAAAAAAAAGAAAAAAAAAGAAAAGCCCAAGGACAGATGGTCGAGGGTCGGTGTGGAAACGGGTTGCATCAAATTACATTCCAGATTCCATCTCACTTGACTTGAGTACTTGGTGTTTAAACAGTACGTTACTCGTTCAATAAATAATTTAAGTGTGGTTGAAAATGCCAAAATTTAAAACGACATAATACGTTCATATTTTAACTGCACTTTCTGCATAGATACAAGTCTTGTAGATCTCGTCGTTCTCTTCAAATCTATATATTATGGGCCCAAGACTGGCATGTCAAAATAATGCTACATTAGTTCAAACAGCTTGAAAAGTTCAAAACATTGACTTTCAGGAAAGAACAACAACAAATGACCTATTAACTCATGAATTACCAATTTTCTAAGCACTTTTCTCAATTAATTGTTGCTTTTTTCTTTTAATGTTCCTTTACTTAAAAAATGATATACTTGCTACATTTTATATATTACATTTGTATCAAATTTTCAATAGAAACGAGACCTACTGTATTGATAGGTCTAATATTTGTTAGAGAAAAAAAGTAGGACCTATTAATACAATAGGTCCTGCCTCTATTAAATAGTTGGACAAATGGAATATACAAAGGGATTTTCTAGCAAGTGTAACAACTTTCTCGAGCACCCAGTACGATAAGTGTTTTAGATTTATGTTTAAATATACAAAAATTATGATTTAACAGTTAAAACACTTAGAATACCTGGTATTTCAGAGCATTTAAGAATTTTTGGTAGCGGTTTTATACATCATACAAAATTGTACGGTCAGTTGAGCTGCAAATGTAGATTCAATCATTCAAGTACTACAGGTATGAGTATGATAATTTTAGATTTTCAGTATGAAATTTTTTTAGATACTATGTTCTAACCGTTAGATATTTGTTTAATAATACAAAAACTAAAATATATTGATTAAAACACTTAAAATATCAAATACTCCGGAGCACTTAAGAATTTTTGTTTCATCATTGTATTTCTAGATAAGTCCGGTCAGTTGGTTCAAGTACGGCAGGTACGAGTGTAAAATGCTCCACCACCACCGACACTATCACAACTACTTACTAACTAATAGGTTTCAAAACAAAAGAATGGCAAAACAAGATTCTGGTTATCTTGGAAATCATGATCATCCACCTTAGAATTTAAAATCAACAGTTACCCTTGAATTTAAAATGTTAAGATTAAAACAACAAAAGAACGTCAATCAATCCATTCTCCACAATCAATATCAAATCCAACGATATGTAACTATACATTCCGTTGTCACCAGATGATCATGAGAACATTTCTATTAAAAAAAAAAATGTTTACGAAAAAAAGTTCACTTTATTTATAATTTTACCAAAATAAGACGACATTTGTTTCTTTAGCGAACAATTGACTTCAAGCGACGTCAATAGTTTAAACTTGGCCCGAACAGGCCAAGTCACAGAAGAAACATTTTGTAAATTACAGACAGATGAAGACTGCCAATTAGCATCGAGACAGATAAATTAAAAAGCACCCAGCCCTCTCTGATGCATTAAGCAACAGACGGCAGCCCAAAGATGACACCGAATTATTTGTATTAGTTCACCATCATATGATCAAATCCTCCTCCAGCCTGAAGCGCAGGAACCCGACTAACACCAACGTTGTGAAGTAGCTGCTGCAACCATCTCCTTGTAGTTGGATCTTCCTGAAATCGTGACGCAAATAATTAACTTTGAAAGCAGACCACACAACTGCGTCCAAATAAAACAGTAGGGGATACCGAAAAGAAACAGTAAATCAAACTCAAGGTATATTTTTCCAATATCTCACAAACTATGTCTGGTAACTATATGTACCCTCGACGATGGGAGCAAGAAAAAAAATACAGGACTAACTCAGTAACTCCTATGAGCAACCACCAAAACATGCGAGTTATCACACCCTATTTTCAGACAAGCTAATATGACTTCACAAACACCTCAATGGCAACCATGCAAGTACAAGGAGATGCAGCAGGAAAATTCAAGGACACTACCACAAAGAACATCTGCATACCAATATGTCCTCATCTGAAGATGAAACGCATTAGTTTTTTACTTTTTTTTTTCTTCCAAACTACTCGTTAAGATCAATTATGAATTAAACAGCGTAGGCATCCAGAAAGGTGCTTACACGGAGGGAAACACTGAAGGTAGTATCTCTCAACATATCGGGAAGACAGCTCCTCAAAGCATCACAAGCCCTGATGATAAAAAAAATAAAAAATAAAAAATAAATCAAATGATTAACACAAGATATTGAAGAAACAAGAAAACAAAAAAGAAATAATAAATCTACTTCATTTGACCAACCTATGGTTATCTGACAATCGAAGATAACATCGAATAATGTGTTTTAGTAAGCGAGACGAATGCTGGTCAGCAAGTGATGCAACCATGGTTCCCAAGACTCGACCCACTGCGAAAAACCGCTCAGCTGTAGTACAGATATAATCCAAGCCCACATCATCCAACAAAATCTTTTGAACAATAAATGTAGCCACCTGCGAAGATAACAACTTTTGTTAGGCAACCTCGGGCAAACTCAGGGCAATCTGGAAAGGCCTTGCATAAAATGCTATATACTGAGATCTAATGAAACATACAATGATGGGAAGAAAAAAAGAAGTGAACAAACAGAAACGGACACTCAACTGTTTTTGACAGTTCACTACCCATTTCCATAGTTCGCAGGCACAACGGAATTATTTCAGTTGATAGAAGAAAACTAATCACTTCTGTATCATCGACCTGGTAAAACGGAGTAAAAAGAATTAATATTCCAAAATCCAAATATTTTTTAATTACAAATATGTCTGTCATAAAAATGCTATAAACTTCAGGTTCACATGTGAAAAAGAGTGAGAAGACCAGCTGCACATAAAGGTGCATGTGCAGGATAATATTACAAGTTGAATCTAATACCCATGCAAATAAAGCAATGTTAACTATTTTCTCGTCCAAGTTCACGCTCCAGTTAAATCCTTCACTAAATGATGGAGCTAGTAAAGCCACCTATTTCAATCAACGTTATAAAATAAAAAAAAATAGATAAAAACTAAGCATTCTTTTTATCCCCTCATTTATCTCACGTTAGATTCTGCTAGTCCTTTTATTTCTCAGATCAGCTACACAAGCAAGAATGGAAAGAGTGCTTTTAGTTAGGGCATGCATGAAATTTTCACATTTACACTCTTTTAAACATCATTTCTCAAAACGTGTAGCCATATACCTATCCAGTTATACTTGTATATCAGCTGGTAATTTACTCTTGTACATTTTATCACACAAACAAATAAAAAGAAAATATACCCATCAGTTTGTCAAATAAGAATAACATACCTTCACTAAGGCACCAATGACTCCTAAGCTAGTAAGCCTCAAGTACTCGAAAGGCCTTGACTTGCTTGTTGTATTAAGGAAAGGGTACAAATATAAAGGTATATGAGCTGCCAACGACAAGAGATATGAAAAAATTATGCTTCTATGTACAAGCACGTTATAAAGGACATTTCAAGCTTTGAATTTAAACAAGATAAAGGTTATTACCATTAAGGAATAACATCCTTGTGTCTGGGTGCGAAGCCACACACTACAAGAAGATACAAAAGGAATATGAAGCATACAATAATAATGAGAAGTGTAAAATATACGCCAAGCCTCTTTCATAGGGAAGGTAACTGTCGTTTAGGAAAAAAAATTAAGTGCATCAATAAAGATTAGATATATAATTTAAAGGCAACAACAATGGACCTGAAGAAGCGCTAGAGCATTGCAAACTCGATTTGATTGGACAGGAGTTAAATTTGGTGGTGAAAGAACAGGGTATATTGAAACTATCTCCTGCACAAAGGATAAAAAGTAGAATGAGAATCCATCAGCAGGGAACAAGAAAAAGAGAGTATCCAGTATTGTTGATTATCAAACAGACAGTCAAATGATGGTTCGTCAACGATGCATGGACATATGTATAACACATAGGTTCTACTCCTACATACAGAAGGAAACCTGCTACCCTTGTAGATGAACGAATTTATAAAACAAGTGAACAGAAACTGACCAACAACCGCTAAAAAAAAAAAAAAAAGAAAAAAAAAGGGGAACAATAAGAATGACATGAATATAAAACCACAAAACGCATACCTGTAACAGAGCAGCAATAGTACCAAAAGAATTCCACAACAATGGAGCCAAATCTTGAAATAATTCTCTCTTCTGAAAATTGGAACATGAAAGGAAACAGGGGTTTAACTAGGAGTATGTGTATATGTACATATATAGTACCAAAAGGATTCAATATGAAAAAATTAAAAATCTATTGCAAATGAAAACTAAAACCAAGAAAGGCAAATCCAAGTCCACTTTCAGCTCAAAAATGTTTAACAGTAAGAACTAAGAACTTATTTTCTCGGTGAAGAACACATGAGCATAACAAACAAAGGGGTGGCAACTTTATCGTCGTATCGCAGGTATAATCTAGCCATTTTTTTCTTTTCTTATCCCTTTAAAAATAAAAGAGAAAATAAGGTCAAAATAACATTTTGGCTACGTGCTTTAAGGCACTGTCAGGCTCTTCACAATAGGTGGGAACAATAATCCTTTGGCCAACGTGCTATTATGGATGGAAACTAACTTCTTTCCAGATCTGATATGCAACTGTCACCAAAGTAGTCAATGAAAACTTCAAACTAATAAAGCAAAATTAACAAATTATGAAGCCTATTTAGCATGTTACAATGGCATTTATATCACTTTCATTCCCACACCACTGATAGAATTATAGCACCCAACCCAGGACCAATTGGCAATGTGTGGAGCAGCCCAAGATCGTAAATATATTCTTATGTGAGATTTCACATTCCAACTGTGCAAACATACTCAACACACCCCTCATCTCTAGTGGAGGGTAACTTGAGCTAAACACATGGAGCTAAACGCGCGGACAACACATACATGGGATGACATGGGAGCACGTGTAGCCATTGGGGCGTGATACGTAGATTGCGTGCAGGTTCCGTGATATCTAGTGATCCCTAATCCCTTTCAAAACCACTACACCATTCCAAACCTAGACACACAAAAGAGATTGCAGCTATGCACCTTCTCCATATCTACCTAACCAACCAATACGTACCCAGAAACGTAAAACAAATGGCATCAAAATCCAACTTTGATCCTACCCTAGGAACAACTATATTAAGGTGGGACCCACATGCATGCTGTGATTACAATGAAGCTAACTTGAAGTCTCAACTCTAACAAGAAAAAGGAACAAGCAAACCCTCTTCGCACGAACACGTCATGCAAAACTAATCATCTCATTACCCCAATTGCCTTGGTTTTCTCAGCAAAACTAACATGATTACAGAGCAAAGAAATGAAGCTAAAACAAAACAAAACTCAATATAATCCAAATTACAAAACCCTAAATCCAAATTTTAAACTTTATCATCATATCATCAATCTACATAAACCCTAAAACAAAAATTAAACAAAAACCCTAACAGGGATCAATCAAACACAGAGGAATTCAATTGTCCAGACCCAAAGAAAGCAAAAAGATTAGACCTTAGAGAGTTCAAGGAGCGCGTTTTCACGAAGTTGAGGGTTGCTGAGTTCGAGCACCAACTGCTCCGCCGATGCCATGTTAGGGTCCCTGTTCGGCTGGGCTCCGGCAGCACTGGGGTTGGAACCGATCGGACCTCCAAACGGTGCACTCATCTCCACAAACTAACAGAGATTCTCCGTTTCATAGCAGGAAGTTGTCCAAGCTCAAAAATTTTGCCATTGCTTTCTCACAGTTTGCTCTCAGCTTTCTGTAGAGAGAGAGAGAGAGAGAGAGAGAGAGTGAAGAAGACAAGTTCAATTTCGAGAGGAGCAGGAGTTGGCTTTATATTTGAAGACACGTACTCGACATGCGCGTGGTAATCGCCCTTGATGTTGACACCTCATTTTGGATTGAACTGATTTGGCATGTCCGCTTGGAAGGGGAAGTGTGTCTACGCTCCTCCACTGTCGCATGGATGCCATTTTAAATGCTTCCCAGAGCAAGTCCACGGGGGACCATTAGGCCGTCATCCAGCCAATCCCCTCAAGCCCAGTAGATTAGGCCGGCTGCCAGCTAAAGCCATTCTATAGGTCGGTCCAGAATGAGCTCAGTTAAAGCCCGGCCTATGTGACGTTATAGACCTTTTTAATTTTTTTTTTTTTTTTATTTACGCCAGGCACGTGGGAAACACGCGCACGTGATCTTGAATGGCCGACAGCGTCGCAGATGCGAGGCCCACAGTGCAAGCACAATATGGGGTTCTGGCGTGGGGACATGTGGCTCCTTTCTGTCCGTTGGATTTCCAACGGTAAAAAAACAAATTGAAATTTAAAATTAATTGCTACTGACATGGCACAATGAGAACCGTTTGATTTTCAGATCAACAGTCCAGATTTTTCCACCAAAAAAACTTTAAAAAAATAAATAAAATGTCAAAAATTAATAATATTTTTTTATAAAGTCAAAAATAAAAAATAATAAAATTTTAATAAAATTGACTAGGTTATTTCTTTTAGGGGTGGAGATGCATTTGGCTTATTACTGTTCATTAGAGTCTATCACTATTCACTGAATGGATTAAATAGGTTGGATGCTATTGCATTTTTTTAAGGGTGGACCTGCTCTTAATTGCATGACTCATGTGTGACAAAACTTGCTAGCTCGTTATGATAGGACACGACTAGATTAGACATGATGGTTAACAAATTGGGATTGACCATTAATTGGATGATCGTATACGATAAGACCTGCTAGCTCATTATAATAGAGCACAATTCAAATCCAACAATAAGCTTAATAAATTGGGATTAACCATTAATTTCACAAGCTCATGTACAAGGCTTTTTGAATTACACATGATAAGAGTTTTGAATTTGTTCACCATCGTAATTAGCTGACAAGCATTCCCACCTTCTTAAAGTGTGCAACGTGTTAGTGACTTAACTATAGTTAATTAGTTTAGTTTTTACATATGTAAACATGGTTACACCACTAACATGCAACACGTTCTAAGAATGGTGATAACGCTCATCAATAATTAGGGTGGTGAGCAAATTTAGACTCCATATGATAGCTAATAGGATTTTTGCCACCTACATAACTAGGGGTTAAATTATATAGAAATAATTGCATAAGAACATGGTTACCGTAGTTTAAACGACTCAAGCAAGATCGATTTCCACAAGAACTAGTGTGAATAACTTGTGCTTAAGAAAAATTCTTAGTTAACTTTCAAATACAAGATTTATAAGCTTGAAATTTGAATTGAAATAACAAGTGCAAATTAATAAAAGGATTAAAATCAACACAATAATAATTATGAGTTAACACATGCAAACTTTGAAGGTTAGGTTTTCCTAATGCATATTCTACTTGGGCATTCAACCTAGAACGTACATCTAACATGTAATTCATATGTGACATTTGTAAGATTGTGAATATGATATAACCGGTCGTAGTGGTTAAGATTGATACAGAAAAGTCTTGATTAAAACTATTAGGTTGTCCTAAATGAATTAGGATGACATAATTGAGAGAAGTTCTGATTGGTTCTGGAAAAGGATTTAGTGTTGGAACTTTGTAAGGTCTCATAATTCTTTATGGTTTGTATAGTTTGAATCCTAGTCCAATTCTAATAGGGAATGGATAGAGGATTACTATATATATGTGTCTCAACCCACTGCTTTTGCGTTCGTTGTCTTATTTTGTTCTAAGACCTATTGATTAGAAGAGTTGTTATCACCGCAAAAGATGAGAAGGTTTTAAGCACAGAGGTTGCAATGGCTTCTTCATCAGGATTGAATAATGCAGGTATGTTTGAAGGCTTTGGTTCTTAATGTGTTCAATAAAAGGTTTATGAGTTGTGATTCAATTGGATGAATTCTTGTTCCTTGGATAAGAAGTTATAATCTTGTTCTTACATGTAGTATTAGAGCCATTAGGTTTCAACCATTGAATTCAACTAAAATTAAAATCAAATGTATGAAAACATACTAGCTGGGTTTCAGACTGAGTTCTTAGGGTTCTTAAAATCTGTAGTTTGAAACGGCGTCATTTTCGTTATAGAGCCATTGGAAAGTTAAGCTACAAAAATGGTGTCATTTCGTGAGATGTTTAAATAACTAAAAATTTGACCGTTAGGAAATTTGGGTTTCTGTTTTCGCTATGTTCTTCGAAGAGGGTTTCTTCTCCATCATCTTCGATTGACCTATTTCTTCCTTATTGTTCTCTAAAACGCAATTTTGAGTAAGATAGATGCTGAAATTGACAAATTTCAAAAGCTAACGATGAAAAGGTATGTATTTTGAAATTCAAATTTTTTCTGATTATGCAGAATGTTTGGGTTGAGTTTATATGAATTTAATGTTGGGAATTGGTTACTTGATCATAATAAAGGTTTAAAACATTAACAAGATTCATATTAATGCTGAATAATTTGAATTGCACATATTGTCTTTATAAACTGCTTCTGCTAACATATCTGATATAAGAGGCTTGAAATTCTTCAATAGTTACCTTGTTGATTCATGTATATATGTATATATACACACACATATGTATATTGTACAATCTGTGTTGATCTAAAGCAGAGAGAATTTCATTGGATTGTATCCTCTATATATGTCTTTAAAAAATAAGATCATATATATGAATAAGTTGATTCAGTGGACAAATTTGGTAGTGAAAAGACTGAAATCAAGAATCATTGAGATTCATAGTGTTGATTTCATTGTTGTCTAATGCAGTTTCACTAAAATTGCTTAACTTAGCAGCAGTGCCAATACTCACTGGTGGAAGAAGTTACAAAAAGTGGAGAAGAGAGATTGAATTGCATTTGACATTGAATGAGTATAACATTGCCCTTGACAATCCGCAACTTGAGGCCTTGACAGACAAAAGCACCAAGGCTAAAAAGACTGATTTTGAAAGATGGACTAGGGCCAACAAAGTAGCTTTATCCATACTAGAAAGTGGTATGACAGACACTATGCATGGAGGAATAAATAAGTAAGCTTTTGCAAAAGATTACCTCCAAGCCATTGAGAATAAATTTAAAGAATCAGAGAAGGCTGAGATTGCTCAATATATGTCCTTCTTGACTTCCTACAAGTTTGAAGGTGGAGGTTGGATCAAAGATCACATTATGAAAATGACTGATGCAGCTAAGAAACTTAACTCTATGGAAGTTAACATTGGAGAAAAACAACTTGTGTTCATGATACTCCAAGCACTAACGCATAAATTCAGTCAACTCAAGGTGTCCTACAATACTCAAGACAAGAATTGGACTGTGGATGAACTCATTGCTCAATGTGTGCAAGAAGAGAACAAATAGAAACAAGAGAAGGTGGAAGGAGCCTGAAACTATCAATTTTGTCAAACCTGCAAAATGGAAAAGAAAAAAAAGTCAAATGTTGGTAAAACTTCTAAATCCAAACCTTATGATAAATCTGTTATGCATGCTAAAAGTTTTGATTCCTCTAAGTCTAACAAATTTAAGGTGAAAACAAAGTGTTGAAAAGGTTAGATGTCATCACTACAAAACTAAGAGTCACTATAGAAAAGACTATGAAATATTCAAGGATTGGCTGAGATCTAAGGGTAGAACTGATATCTATGTCTGTGAGGAGACAAATCTTGTTGATATTCCATCAAACTCGTTGTGGTTTGATACTGGTGCATTTGTGCATGTCACTAATTCTTTACATGGTTGTAAAGAACAAAGGAAGACAAACAGTTTTAATGTTTTCGTTGGAGAAGGAACCAAAGTGTCTGTTGAGTCCATAGGTACTATCAAATTGAAATTAGACACTTGGTTTACAATGTAACTAAATGATGTGTTATATGTGCCCAAAATGAGGAGGAATTTGGTTTATGCATCAAAGCTGGTCAAACAAGGCTTTGGTTTTATGGGAGATGATGAGTGTGTCAAGTTTTTCAAAAGGGGATCCTTGCACAGAAAAGCATTTTTGCATTACTATCTTAGGAAAATACAATGCAATGTAGATTTTGAAAACCTGCATGTTTGAATACTACAACTAAAAGGATGCATGCTTCTGATCAATCCTTCGTACTTTGGCACAAGAGGCTAGGATACATTTCAAAAGAAAGAGTTTTTCAGTTATCTAAATTGAATTTGATCCCTACAATAGACATTAAAACTGCTACAAAATGTGTTGATTGGATCAGGGCAAGATGACTAATGTTAGAAAGTTAGATGTCAAAAAGAGTAGAGGCTTGCTCGAAGTCATTCACATAGATATTTGTGGACCTTTTCCTGTCAAAACTATTTGTGGGAATACTTATTTTGTGAACTTTATAGATGACTCTCAAGATTCAGTTATATTTACCTTATAAGTAAAAAGTCTACAGTCCTTGAATGTTTCAAAGTTTTTAAAAGTGAAGTTGAAAAACAGTTAAACCATGTGATTAAAATTGTTAGATCAGAAAAGGGAGGTGAATACTTTGGCAAGCATACAAAAGCAGGGCAACTCACTTTCTTGAAAGTCAAGGGATTGTGGCTCAATATACCACTCATGGTACCCCATAACAAAATGTAGTGGCAGAAATAAGAAATAGAACTTTTATGGAAATGGTGAGAAGCATGATTTCAAGATTTCAAGATCAAAGCTCCCAAATTTTCTTTGGGGAAAGGCATAGAAGACTGCAAGTTACATTCTACATCGAGTGTTCTCAAAGTTTATGCCTAAGACACCTTTTGAACTATGGTATGGGAGAAAGCCAAGCTTCAATCATTTTCATGTATGAGGCTGCAAAGCAGAGGCAAAATTATACAATCCAAATGAAAAAAAGTTGGACCC